ATCAATACCATCAGCATCATCAACATCATCATAAGCATCATCACCATCAGCAGCATCATCGTCAGAATCATCAACAGCAGCAGCATCATCATCACCATTATCAGCAGCATCATCATCCAAATAAGCATCAGAATGTTTCTCATCACCATGTTCATTATAACAATTGTACTGCTGAGTCATCATCGACAGGAGCATCAGCATTATCATTTTCGCCATCCGAATCATCATCACCATCATCATCATCATCATCATCATCATCATCATCATCATCATCATCATCGTCATCATCATCATCATCATCATCATCATCAGCCTCATCATGATCACCTTCATCTTCACCATCATCACGATCACCATCACCATTGTCATCACAATCAGCATCACCGTCATCATCAGCAGCATCATCATCACCATCAGCATCATCGTCTTCACTCGCATCTTCATCACCGTCATCATCACCACCACCATCACCATACCCACTCGCATCGTGACCACCACCACCACCAGTCGTCAGGCTTCACCATTATTCGCATTATCATCATCACCATCATCGTCAGCATCGCTATCACCATCACAACGATCATCATCCATATCCGATTCATCAACATCCAAATCATCATCAGAATCACCATCATCCCCGTCATCATCATCATCATCATCATCATCATCATCATCATCATCATCATCATCATCATCATCATCATCATCATCATCATCATCACCACAACCATCGTCATCATCATCACCATCACCACCACCATCATCATGAAATTCATCCTCCACCCATTCTTACTTCCCTAGTAATGTCATCGGTAACCACCTGCGACTCGGTTCCGGCCTTCTCCTGCTCATACCTCCTCCTCCCTCATCCTCCCTCCGTCCCTCCCCTTGTTCATCATATTTACCATCCTGCTCCCCAAATTCCTCCACAGTCGCCTCCTCCTCATCAGCAGCAACGCAACTTCGCCATCATCATCATCATCATCATCACCACCATCATCATCATCATCATCATCATCATCATCATCATCATCATCATCATCATCCTCTTCATCATCATCCTGATATTATCACCATCATCAACACAATCATCATCATCATCATCATCATCATCACCATCATCATCATCATCATCATCATCATCATCATCATCATCATCATCATCATCCTCATCATCATCTGCCTGGCTGGAGAGATTCCCGTCACCGGTGGTCGTCACACTCGCGCGGCGGGGTGCTAACAGAACAAGGTGTGTCGGACCATCGGGCAACCGTTGCAGCTGCACCGCGCGTTTGCGGTTCCCTGACGCGCGGTTGCGGCCCCCCGCCGGAGCCCAACAACGTGTTGGTTCTCCTGATTCCTTACATTCCTTCAGTACGCCATCGATAATATTCCGTTTCCACCTTCAAGTGCCGGCAGCAAGGTGCAACGGCCAAGGTGTGTGTGTGTGTGTCAACTATAGCCTTTTTCTATATCTCGGCACTTTATTACTCCACGAGCTGCATCATACGTTTGGGTGTCACGGTATTGGGTGGAGAAGCCACCTTTGCCGGACTGAAATTTCGCTAGCCGCCGGCCGCACGCGGAACCTCACCGCCCCATGCTGCGCAGGATGGCGCCGCAGACGTCAGGGACACGACCATCTTCCCGTCGGGCCGAATAGACATGTCCACGGCAGGCCCCTGGCCGCCGCCGGCGACGCGGCATTCTACGCGAGAACAGCAGCATCGTGTGACAACCTTCGTGTTTCCTTGCCGCGCAATCTCGCGCTCTCTTCTGGCTACCATTATAATTATTATATAGATTGGGTATTCCAGCGTATGCTCCTGCTCTTTTAACGTGCTCTTCCGCGCGGAGCGATCCCTGGCGGTGTTCGTGGGCAGGGTCATCGCGCAGCGCTTCCACTGCGCGCGGAGGGTTTATCCTAGAGGGTGCTCGTGGAAGTGATGCCTTTCTTTTTCTTATTACGATGCTTATTCCACTAACTGTTATCAATACTGAGAGTACCCATTACGATTACGAATAGGATCATGAATACAATTGTTCTTTTCATGTGTCAGGTGTCCTACGTATTTGTGATACATTACGTATTCACGCTACGATTCCTAAGATTAGTGGCATGATGTCTTAATGTTGTTGAAAGTCGTATTGGTTATAGTCGGATTGTTCGTGATAAGATTGACAAGTTCTTCGTATTACAACCTTGTTGGAACTATTACTCGTAGTATTAGTTGTAGAATTAATAATGTTCGCCTTAGTAGTATGGTTGGTCTTCTTATTTGTTGTATTATAATTACTACTACTCGCTGTTTTTTTCTTCATTGTTCCTTGTCTTCGCCACGGTGTTCATAAAGCCTCTTCGGAGGGTGATCGCAGAGGTTCTTTACATTGACGTGCTCGTGGAAGCCTTTTCTAGAAAGGTGCTCGCGGAGGTCTTCTTCACTACCGCGTTCGTGGAGGGCTCTTCGGAAGGTGCTCGTGGAGGTATGTACTATTCCTGAAAGTGCTTGCGGAGGCTTCTACAGGAGGGTGCTCGTGAAGGTTTTCTCGGTGCTGGTGCTTGCGGAGGCCTTCGTCGGAGCGTCATTGAAGAGGTCTTCAACATGGGTGTCCTCGTGGAAGTCCTCTACGGGAGGATGCTCGCGAAGGTTTTCTTCACTCGCGTTCGCGGAGAATTCTTTGGAGAGCGCTCGCGGAGGTCCTCACAATGTGGTCGCGGAGGCCTTTTCTGGGAGGATGCTCGCGGATGTCTTCTTCGTGCCAGATGCTCTTGGAGGTATACTTTGCGCAGAACTCGTGGAGGCATTCTTCATCAATGGATTCATGGAAACCTTCTCCAGGAGGCTGCTCGCGGAGATCTTTTCGTGCCGGCACCTGGGAGGGTACAAAAGGTGGCGTACATGAATGCCGCCTCCGGGAGGATACTCTCGGAAATCTTTTTCGTGCCGGCACCTGTGGAGGTATGCTTCGTGGTGTTCTTGGAGAACATCGTCGTTACGGTTTGCTGTTTCGTGGTCCTCTCGCTGATGCTGTAGTCCTTCGTTCGCTGGGTGATGACGCTCTGCTAATCATTATCTCTGTAGTCACCGTGCCTCGTCCACTCCTCTGGGCCCGTACTGCTTCGCTGGAGTCGCTGTCCGGTCACCGGTGGCCGTCACACCCGCGCGGCGGGGTACAGACAAAACAAGGTGTCGGACCATCGGACAACCGTTCTGCAATACGCCACCGATGATGATGATGATGATAATAATGATGATGATGATCATCATCATCATCATCATCATCGTCGTCGTCGTCATCATCATCAGCATCATCATCATATCGTCATGATCATCAGCATCATCATCATCATCATCATCAGCATCATCACCGTCATCATCATCGTCGTCGTCGTCGTGATTGTCATCGTCGTCGTTGATCGTCATCGTCATCGTCATCGTCATCATCATCATCATCATCATCATAATCATTATCATCAGCACCATCACCATCACCATTACCATCACCATCATCATCATCATCATCATCATAGTCGTCATCA